CAAGTGTTACTTTCAGTATACGTGCTGCTGAAGGAAACACCCAAGTGTTACTTTTATAACCAGAAAATAAATGTGGTTTCTCACCTTGTCTAAGACAAGGAGGAAAATGTTTTTGTTCAGTCATATTAATTTCAGCAACAGTATAATAAAGATAATAAATTGACACATTTGCCCACTGCTTTGTAGTCTAAAGAATATTTTTACAAGTAGCTGTTTAAATATCTGTCTTTCCTGCTCATTATGAATTTCCCAAGGAGATGTCTGACATCTTATGTGTGAATTGTAGCCATGTCTGAGCAAATCCAAGCCTTGGCTTCCTTAAATATAAAATGAGAGTAATAATGCCCACCTTACTGTTGTGCCATGAGGACTTGAGAAGTTAACAATACATAGCGAACCTGCTGTTAGGTAACAGGTGACTACAAGGACAAACAGTGCCTCATCTGGTGTTCAAACTCTCCCAGGGAAGTTCCCAGGACTTAATATTTCCTCCATGTTACCGGTACCTGTCCTTTCACACTGTTTCACAAAAGTCCAGAAAGGGCTTCCACTCTTATTATTTAAATTCTTCCTACTTCAGAAACTCAGGCATTCATTCAAAAAATTCCAAGGCCTACTACGTGCCTCACCCAATCTCCAGAGGGCAGACAGTGCACTTTCTGGGTAATTCTGTACAAATGACAATTCTCTGACTGCTTCCTTCTTCTTTTTTTTTTTGGTACTGGGGATCGAACTCGGGTCCTTCCACTTGCAAGGCAGGTGGACTGCTTCTTAAAACCACAGCAAAGGAAAATATTATCACACTCTACACTTTTATTTTAAAGGGATATACTTGTGCCAACTGAGTCATCTTGATTTCATCTTGGTTTAAAAAATATATATACATATACAGTTATATATGAAACCCCACCTAACCACCCATACCTAAGATAAAATTCTGTGTCCTGCTTTCTAAAAATGCTACCAGCTGGGGATATAGCTCTGTGGTAGAATGCATGCCTAGCATACCCAAGGCTGTGAGATTGATCCCTAGCACCACAAAAATTTAATTAACTAATTAAAATGTTAAGTCCACAACTTAACAACCCCCACGGTCATCATCAGTTCAGTGCCTCTAGTATCAAACTTCCTGCTCCTATATAAATCTAGTTGCTGTTTATTCAGCTGTTCATTTATTAAACAGCCTGATTCTGAGGCCTGAGACTCTGCCAGATACAAGATATAATGACAAATAAAATCAGTAGCCTAGGACCGGGGGTGCAGCTGAGTGGCAAAGTGCTTGCTTAATATATATGAGGCCATAGGTTCAATCCCCAGCATTGCAAAAAAGAAAATAAAAACCAAAACCAAAAAAACAGCAGTCAAACTTAGCCAATGAGGTCAACAGAGTCATAAGCAAGGAGGTTGAGGCAACTGCTTTTGGACAGAAAAAGGAGTTCTCTGGACCCTACAAACAAGCCTGTAGTAACCTCCAACTGCTCCCCAGTGAAGGTGGAGGAGGGATAAGGAAGGGCAAGAGAGTAGACAGGTAACTCCTCTCTAGTCTTCCCCTTTTCACAACTAACTGTGTAGGAAAGTCACCAGGCTTAGCTCTGCTCAGAGCAGCAGAGACTTTTCTAATGTGTATGTGGGGGGTGATCCTCCAATGTGCCTTCCCTGCTCCAACCTTTCTGCAAAGGCATTTCCCTCTTTGCCTGTCAAAACAGAAAAATTAAAGACACTTAAGCTTGTTTAAAGTCATGATTTTACTTGTAATTTTACAGAATATACTCTATATTGTATAAGAAGTGTAAAATTTAAACACACAATCCACTAATCATAAATAGCAATTTAAAATGTTTTTTCATAGCAGCTACTTCTGTCTTCTGTAAGCAAAGAACCACCTGAAAGCTTACTTTTCATTCACCATAAATTAGTAGCTCTCAAATACTCAGGTATTCTTAAAGCTCTATGTCACCCAGGATATGAAACAATACTTGAATGTCCCAGTGGAAGAGAACTTGTTAATCAGACAGACTTGGCATTAAATCCTTCAGACTCATTACCTAACCTCTCAGTCTCAGCTTTCTCATCTCTTATAGGGGGACTGAAGATAACCTCCTAAGGCTGTTAAAACGATTAAACTGTCAAGGGTCACAAACAAGGTTCCTATCACATATCAAGTGCTAAGTGAGTTCTCAAGATCACAACTTTGATTTATAACAGTCTTTGGGTCAATACACCCATTATCAGTGAACAAGTACCCCACTGCAATTGACTTTTAGTTTGGTTTTTATAATCATCAACCAGCTACTACAAATTTCCCCTTCTTGAAGATCATTTACATTCTAAAAGTAATCCTAAATTTAAAAATTGGGTTGTAATTTAAAATGATAATATAAGTGGGTCTACAATAGACAGAATACTGTCCACAAAACATTAGGTTAAAAAAATCCAAGGTATGAGCAGGTCTGTGATCCCAGTACTCTGGGATGCTGAGGCAGAGGGATCACAAGGTTGAACCCAGCCTGAGCAACTCAGTAACTTAGCAAAACCGGGTCTCAGACACAGGAAACGAAAGGTTGGGGATGTGGCTCACAGCAAAAGCCCTGGGCAGGGCTAAGCCTGGTGACTTTCCTAAGCAATTAGTTGTGAAAAGGGCAAGACTAGTCCATGCTCTTGCCCCTCCTTTTCCTTCCTCCACCTTCACTGGGTAGTGGGGAGCAGCGAGGAGGGAGCAGTTGGAGGTTACTATAGATTTGTTCCAAGGGTGCAGAGAACTGTTTTTGGACAGAAAGAGTTGGACAATCCCCAATACTTGAAAGAAAAAGAAGAAAAACAAAAACAAGGTATAAATCACAGCCTGAATAATTTGATTCCACATTTGTAAAAAGAAATATATATTTATACATGCACATATAAATACATATACTTATTCATATATATAGAGAGAAACAGTTGCTCTCATTTTCTTCTTTTTACTTTTATGTATTTTCCATGCCCTATTATAAATCTGGTTTTTTTTTAAAATAATGAGCAAGTATTACTTTTATAATCAGGGACCCATAACCAAAAAAGAAAACAAAAAACAAAGTTGCAGCAGTGCTCGTTACAGATTACCAGACTAACCTAGTCCTTATTCAGGCCTTCAAACAACACCAAACACACCTCAGAGCTGGGAATTCTACTGAAGTGAATAACTTTGACAGAAGTTCCATTTTATGTCTGGAGCATGCTACAGAGTGCTTTCACAATCCTATAGAGCAGGCTCTCTCACCCTCTGCTTTGCATTGAACACTTTGCCCCTGGGGGAGTCCAAGACTCACCTGCCCAGGGCTCTCATCCTGTAATTAGGAGAGCCAGCAAGACCTCTTCCCCCTCTCCTTTCCAAAGAGGCATCCTACTTGTGGAAATAGTTAAAAATCAATGGCATATGTCACACCCCACACCTCACAGAGAGGCTAACATTTGTAAAGTAATGTGATGTAAATGGACATTCTGAAGAAATGCTCTTAAGCATTTTTTTCCCAGAAAATGCTTGCACTTTTACTATCTTAAACACTTTGACGAAAAATATAAATGTTGGCCCTGGATGAAAAGCCAAATAAAATGCTTTGTCACTAAGATTCCAAATAAAACACTAGTTTAGCTATTGGATCAAAAGCAGTTTAAATAAAATGAAAACCACATAACAACTTGGAAAGCAAAGCATTTAAAGTTCATCAGGCATGGAGTTTGTGGTATTACCCCTATTGTACCTCACCTGGCCCCCAAACCACTTACCAGGGCTGCATGAAAGCTACCCAACCTGGCAGCCACTGAATGATTCCACATTTCCTGTTATTACATTTGCCTGGGAGGAAACTTTGAAGAAGGCTCTTGGAATTTTCCACAAATTCATCACACCAGAATGGGGGGGGGGGGGGGCACTGATTGAACGCAAGACCTGCATACTAGACAAGCACTCTACCATTGAGCCACAAAAATCATTCAAGATAAATACATTAGAGCATGATTATATCCTGGGTAAAGATCTAACAGCAAAATGCAGAATCTTTAAATACAGTTTCAGCATCCAAGTATCAAGTGCCTTCAACATGCAAATCTTTCATGTAACATATTTCAAAAAGCTCTTTTCACAAAGTTTCCTTAGGTTTGGGAGACTTTCAAAACAATGAACACCAGAAAAAGTCTCAAAGGAGATGAAGTACTTATGAAAACTGTTTGTTGTACGAATTACTTATGAAAACTGTTTGCATCTAACTGGTAGAATGCTTTCAAAATTTGTTTTTTCATCTGACTGACTACTCAAAGACCCCACACAGACTAACACACAGACTACCAGTCCCATTTTTAATAGCAGAAATGTTATGAAAAGGCACCATTTTTACAAAATGTTGCACTGCCCTGTTTTGAACACAAGTAACCTGTGGGTTAACAAAACTTACGTTTTTTTGCTTAAGAAAAGTGACTCTGGGCTGGGGATTTAGCTCAGTGGCACCTCGCCTGCCTCGCAAGTGCAAGGTTGTGAGTTTGATCCCAGGTACCAAAACAAACAAACAAAACAAAACAAGTGACTTCATTTTGCAGCAACATTTTCAAAGTATTCACTTAAGTGAATTGTAGAGATTAACAAAATAATCACACACTTTTAAAAATAAAAGGGAAGGGGCTGGGAGTACAGCTCCTTGGTAGAGTGCTTGCCTAGCATGCTCCAGGGTTTGGTTTCAGCACTGCAAAAATTAAGTTAAATTTTTTTAAAAAGGGAGTTAAGACCCACTTTTGTCTGACTTTCATTCTGGAAAACTTGTGCTGCACAGATGCTTACAAAATAACCTGAGAATATTAAGCAACAAAACCCAAAATTCAGCCACCATAGAACAAATGACTCTGAGTCCTGCCCAGGGCTTCTCTCCTACTCTCACTTCTACCCCAGACCTCTGCCCAACCCCTCTCACAGGAGATGCAGAGAAACCTCAGTATGTGCACTGGGTCCCAGTACCATCTGCAGTTGCACTGACCTGATGAGAACTCATTTCACAGGTTCCATTCAAAGCTCCCCGTGGAAATTCTCTCCCTGATGGAGAAGAGTGGGCACCTTCCTCTGAAGACACTGGCCTGGCCAGGGCCCTGGCCCCAGGGCTCCTCCTGAAGGACCACCACTTGTGGATAGACAGCAGGGTCACCTGTGGGTCACTCAGAGTTGCAAGGAAGGACTGCTCAGGGTCTTGGGGTGCTTCATTTTTGGCTTTCTCCATTGCTATGGTTGCAGTCACAGGCGCAGCTTTGATCCCCACTAAAGCAGTTCAACTTCACCAGACTTGCCAGTCATGCTAGAAGGAAATGCTTTCAAAGTGTCCCCTAATTAGCAGGGGAAGGCATCCTTCTGCAACTGAGCCAGCAGGAGAAGCTGTGTCTTCAGTCTGGTGGCCGGCTTCAGGAACTTGGGAGGCTGGACACTGCTGCGTACCTATCTGCTTTTGCCTATCTATACCCGACGTCAGTCCACGTCAGCCCTATCAACTAGCAGCCTCTCACTCATCACACTGTTGTGTGACACTGTAGATATCTCTGCACACGGCCCACACATGCCTGCGCCCTGCACAGCCTGCACACCTGCCCAGTGTGTCTGTAAACACAGCACCTAATCATCGTCCAAAGCTACATAAGGCTTCTTTTTGGCTACCTGTACACCAAGAAACCTGCCCTAAAGGCAATAAAGGGCTACTTCCTTTTTTTACCAAACTGTAAGTGTTTCCTTGGAATAACTTCAGCAATCTCTTCCATAGCTCCAACATTGGCATGGTGCAGAGTACTCTGGGAGAGAAGGATTTCCTAGGCAACAAGGCTTGCATTTCCAAGAGGGTGTAAAAAAGTTCCATGTTTCCTGCAGCTTTGTTTTCCCTTGGACCAAACAAGTAAGAACTGACTGCATACACTAGCTGGCTAACCAGGCTCATTCGTCTTTTATATGTGGCACGGGAACTAATCCACAATTCAGGCTTCTCAGGCTACCTGCTGATCCACTCGAGGATTAGTAGGGGACACAAGATAGTGTGGTAATCTAGGCAGTCACCTGCGCTGTCGGGCAGTGCAGCCTCCCTTCCCAGCCCACCCCTCTAAGAGAGAGGACCTCATCCCTCATGAACAGAGGAACAGCTTCAGCCAATGACTAATACTGGAAACCCCTACTGCAGCAAGTATATGTGGAACATCACACTGCAGACCCAACTGAGTTGGTGGTAAATAATCATGACATCCCTTCATTACTCCCCACAGCTGAATGTGTGACACCTGGGGGTTCTGGACATGCACCAAATGTGGGCATTTAGAACTCAACCCTTTCTGTTCAATGCTCAAGGTCACTAAGGAGTTTTCCTCCTTATGGCTTACCCGCAGTGAGCCTCCTCTTCCCATTAAAACTGCCATCACTGGCTGGGGATTTAGCTCAGTGGTTCTGCCTCCTGCCTTGCAAGCGCAAGGTCCCAAGTTCAATCCCGGGTACCAAAAATCCCCCAAAATCAAAAAAAAAACTCTCATCACTGTCCCCAAGAACTCCAGACTCAGAATCTGTTCTTGGGCTGATGTGTAGCCCAGTGGTAGAGTGCCTGCATACCATGCTCCAAGCCTTGGGTTCCATCCCCAGCATGAGAAACAGAACAATAAGAAATCTGTTCTTTTTATCCTCCTTCCCCTCCCCTCCCTTCTTCCTCCATTTCTATATCCCCTTTCCCCATTTTCATTATTATTATATTATTTTAGTTCATGTTTCCATGATTACATTCAAGATATGTGAAGTTCATGTTATCCACTCCCTAAGATGAATGTAAACATCCTGTACTGCAAATATGTAATAATAAAATAAATCCAATCCAAATAAATCAATAAATCTGTTCTCTTTGAGGGAAGGTGGCCCCACCACTTGTCCATTCACCAAATTCCCTGGGAAATTTCATTGTCCTTTTTGCCTTGTGCATTTATTCCATAAAAGTCTGATAGTTTGTTAGCCACCACTTCTGAGACAAGTTCAGGGCAGCCAACTGCTCTTAAATCTGCCTGGGTTTGACTTTTATCTTCCAAGTGCTCAGCCAAAAACAAAAGAACTTTGCCACAACTTCCAAGAAATGCTATTCAAACCAGAGCCCAAAAATCTGACACCAAGGCCTTAGGCCATCATCGCCTAGCTCTGCTGTGGCTCCTGATTACTCAAAGAATCTTGCTGCCTATCTCCTGCTCCTGTTTCCTGGCAAGATCAATAGGGATTTCTACAGGCCCACTGACCCCCTGCACACTGGAAAATGTAAGTGACTACTGAAACTTTTTTTTCTTAGATTTTTATAAAATTTTAGCCATTTTAGCTGAAAATTCTCCCCAGAGGTATCATTGCTTTCTGTTGTCATTTCAAGTGTGAGTTATTATTAGACATATTTTTAACTTTTCCTTGGTGATATGGGATCACTACAGGAAGTGCTTCTGTGCCATCACTATAAGTGGTCGCTGTTGTGCCACGCCAGCCAGGAAATCACCAAACACCGGGACAAAGACAGAGTTATAATTAAAAGAAGTTTATTCACTTGCGTGGACTCCACTCTCTAGGAGAAGTGAAGCCCCGAAGCAGGGGACAGTACAGGTTTATAGGAAACTCGAACAAAGAAGTTCAGGGAGAGGCCACTATGTCCTTCAGCCAGCTGTGAAATATTTTTTCACAGCCCAGTTCTTTTTCATCCCACCTATCTTGCCAAGATAGGGCCTTCTGTAGCTACAGGGTTCGGTGGTTACAGGGAGGCACCGGGCACCATCTGTTCCCGGGGAGCAATAAAGCATGTTTACAGAAGCAGAGCAAGCAGCTATCTTGAGGGGAATTCCAGCACTCTATAAAGGGAGGGGTATGAAGGGAGTTCATTTTTTTAGGTTCACTTTGGTCTCACAGTCGCAGGGACCCAGCTTAACCTGACTACAGCCATCTTCAGTTGTAACTGCTGTGACTGCCTCTGAGTAACCCTGGTCAGTTTTACCTGAACAGCTTCCCAGCAAACTATAAACAGACAAAACTATTAGGATGGTATGTAGAGCTTTACAACCCAGACCTGGATGAAGGCCCTTTTGTCCTATTTTTATAAGCTCCCTCCTTCTCACCCAAATCACAGGGATCCGCTGGTCTTGCTTTCACCCAGGATCACATTTCTATAAGCTTCCAATTATGTGCACTTTGTCTGCCTCTCTTTGGTCTCAGAGCACCTTGAGGTTGATTCTCTTGTACTGGGATCAGATTTTTCTGGAACAGGGGTTGATAAGGAAAGTAGATTGAGATCACATGTCTAAATGCTTTTGAATAGCCTATCCTATTTGTGCCACAAACTACCAAGAATTTAAATACTTTACTATCCAAAATACTTCTAGAACCAGAACACAGCCAGAAGAGTGGGTTAGGGCCAGGTTAGGAAGGTCAGGAAGGCTGGACTTTGTCCTGTAGATGGTGGAGAATCACTAGGAGTTTCTTTTTGTCATGGGGTGCTAGCGACTGAACTCGAGCCTCCTGCATGCTAGGGAAGCACTCTATCCCTGAGACATACTCCCAACCCCAACAGGAGTTTTTAAGCTGACAATTTACAGGATACAATATATGTGATCTGGAAATACAGTTCTGGCAGGAACAAAAACTGAAGACTCAAAGGATGGCGGCATTTACAGGGTTTACAAGTGGCAGGGAAAACGAATAACAAAGTGAGATTAAACAAATGGGGAGGCACTCCAAGCCTAGTGATCACAGCAGGCAACACAAATAGTATCTAGGGATGGTAATCTGCTCTGGGCACATATGACTGAGAACCAAGATGAGGAGGAACGGTAGGAAGAAAGCAGGTCTGGAGGTGAAAACAGTAAGTTTTTCTGTTCCCACAGAATTGAACAGACCTGCAACAAAGGCATGACTCACTTTCCCAAGCTAGAGGATCAAGCCCAAACTCCTTTCTGGCACCTTCCTCTTACATCTAACCCCACTTTGCCCCCACCCAACTCCTGCCTAATCCTCTTTATCCTTTAAGCCTCGCCTCTCTGTGGACTTATCTCCAGCTACCCTAGAAGGACAGGGCTCTCTCCCTTACCTGAATTCCAACAACATTAATATCAGCACTATTTGTGCCGAAGGTACTCTGGTCTATCATTACTGGAGGACAAGTGTTCTCTGTCCACCTAGACTGCATTCGTTTCATTCTTGTTACTGCTGCCGATGAGTCTTCAGTCCCAAGAAACAGTAAGAGTCTAAAAAGTAAGAAACTTGAGTCTTAGCTGCCCAGAGATCTAACACCACAACGGCAAATGTCAGATGCTAAATATATTTAAAGCATGTTTAACTATATTTAATTATTTAAATAAATTAGTTGAACCATATATACAAATCAAATTATACTTTCTACCTGGAATTTCATGGTGCTTTTCTGTCCCCTTTATGACACTGAAACAGCAAACTCCATTATGCTCTCACATATTCCTCCTAGAACAGGTCTTCAAATGTCTTGCTGCACGAAATTATTTTGCTTCTCATATGGGCAAACTTCACCAGCCATTTTCCAAAATAAAATTCATCTTGTTTACCTCTTATGCACGTCCCAGGTCTTTGTGAGTCTTTTCTACATAAAAATGAAAATCATTTGGTGTCCTAAACCATCTTTTGCAACCTGAGAAGCCTGGGCTCAAAGGCAGATGGGCAGCTCAAGTTTCCATGAACCTCCAGGACAAAGGGCCCTGTTTGGGGGAGGGACACCTGGTTAAAATACTTCGGCATTCACAAAGATTACCTGCTCAACCCAGCTAGAGGCTCACAGCAGGCAGGGCTTCTCAGAAAAGCCTTCCAGCAGGCCAGAGCAGCTCTGTCCAAACAACAAGAAGAGTCCAGCATCCTGAGACAGGACAGGATGGTGGAGCCTGACACTAGGCTGCATGCTGGAAGCAGGGCTTGGGAGGGTCCCACACCAAGGGCATGCGCAGTACAGACAGCACATCTACTGACAATGAGGGGCCCACAGCCCATACTTCATGCCAGATCACTTTGGGCCTGAGAGACAAACATTTAAGCATATGCACAAGAGCCCACAAGAGGAGCATGAGAATTGTTCAGCCATTAGGAGAGGAGAACAGTAGAGGGCAGCACTAAAGTATTGAAAACAATCATTGAAACTCCAGGTGATGGGGTACAGGAGAGACAGCTTCAGACTGAAGTTTCCCTTGGTTCTCATCCCACTGTGTGAGGAGCCTGGTGATTTCCAAGACTGAAACAGCCAGCGTGGTAGGACTTTTATGCTAGCTTAAGAAGAGGAGACAGAAACAAACACTCCTTGACAAGTTCACTGGAGGGAGTGCTTTTAAATAAAACTGCATTTGGCTGAACAGCCTAGAGTGCAAAAACATTACAATAGGGCTTGGGTTCAATTCCTAACACAGCAAAAACAAAACAAAAAGTAAACATCCATGTGCACGAAAACCACACAAAGCGTAACATAAAACAACCAGAAGGGGCCAAAAAAGAGAAATGTTTCAGTTTCAGTTCATTACTGGCACTTTCCTATAAAACTGGGGTGGGAGTGGGGTACCAGGGATTGAACCCAGGGTCTTCACACTGAGCTATATCCCCAGCACATGTTTTATTTTGAGACAAAGTCTCAGTAAGTTGGCCAGGCATGATTTGAATATAAATTCTCCTGCCTCAGCTTCCCAAAGTGCTAGGATTACAGGTACAACACTAGTTTACTCAAAGTTCCAATGCCTATTCCATGCCTATTCCTTGCAGCTGC